ACTGAATGTGCATTTTATTGCTTTACTCTGACTTCATTCTGTGGCACCCACCTACAAGGGGAAGTAAGTTATTTTTGGTATTTCGGAAACTAAAGTCCTTATGGGATGGGGTCTAAAATTCTCCTTTCCTGAGTTCTACTCCACAGAGTCTTAGGTACTTGGTAAAAAGTTGTCTTCTAAATTAAGGGTCATTGCTTTTGTTGTCTAGCTGCTAATTTTTGTTTCTTTTGCTTTTTAATCAGTTCTCAATAGGATATAGTTTTATGTTCTCTAAGCTAAAACTTGGAGTTAAATGTTCACTAGATTATCAGTTATGAGCAGTGTTAAAACCTGTTAATGTGGAATGTACCTGTCAGTGCCTCCTTTATTAAGGGGTTCTTTGAGAACAAAAGAGAAAAGACCTACTTCATTTGACTGCAAAACTGTTCTAATTGTTAATAAAGATTTTTTAAAAGTGTTAAAAAAAATACAAAAAAAATTAGCTGGATATGGTGGTGAATGCCTGTAATGCCAGCTTCTCGGGAGGCTGAGGTGGGAGAATCACTTGAACCCGGGAGGTGGAGGTTTCAGTGAGCCGAGATAGCACCACTGCACTTTAGCCTGGGCCACAAGAGCGAGACTCTGTCTCAAAAATCAAATACAATAAATAAATAAAGTCACTACCGTTCAGAGCTGCTATTTTCTAGGTGTTCATAAGGGCTAGAAAGTTCTTCCCTTTACAGAGACAAAATCAGCCATTTTGTAACATACACCCATTGGTCTAAGCTGTGCTTGCTGAGATTACACAAAAGAGTCCAACTCTTCTACATGATAATCCTGCAATCATTTGAGAATAGTTATCCCACACCCCCATGCCTTCTAGTTTTCAGGATAACTACCCCACATCCTCCAACCGTTCCTCAAAAGATGTAGTTTCTAGGCCATTCATCATCCTGTTGCCCAATCTGGGCATACTCCAACTTGTCAACATCACTCTTAAAGCGTGGAAGGAAACACCATCCATCCTCCAGGTGTGATCTGACCATTGCAGAATGTACTCTGGGACTATTACTTTCCTTGTCCTAGCCACCAGGCTTCTTTTAATGCCAGTTCATATCACATTTACTTGTTTTGGCAGCCAGGTCACATCACTGGCTCAGGTTGCATTTACTGTCAACTAAAGCCCTGGGTCTTTTTTCATGTGAGGAGCACTTAAGTCAGGGTAGACTGTGTTAGCCAAGAGCATGACTAGATTCATGGCTCTGCTGCTCTTCTAATATTACCAAGAGCACTGAACACAGGATTAAAAACATTCCAAACTTCCCTACTCACCCCTAGCCAAACTTCTGGCATTTCAACAGTTTTCGCAGAAGAAAAAAAAATGAAAGGGTGCGCATTAGACAATGGTGTGAATTGTGAAATGCAGTGTCAGGTCTCTGGGCTTAGTTTTACCAAAAAGACCCACAGGGAGTCCAAATCTCCTAGATATTTACCTAGACGGGCAGCCAGGGGACTTCCCTCTTGCGCTTGAGGTAAATGCTGTCAGGGGTGCTAGGACATAACTATACTTGTGGTGGTGAAAAAACACATAGAGAAATACACAGAGGTCCAATGCCAATGTGTTATCAATAGAGAACTGAGTTTACTGCTGTACTTCTCTGAAAGACAAAAGTGCTCAAATACAGATTTTGGAGGGAGGATCCAGCCAAAGAAAACTATAAAATGCACAATCATGGCCAGATGCGGTGGCTCATGCCTGTAATCCCAGCACTTTGGGAGGCCGAGACAGGCAGATCACTTGAGGTCAGGAGTTCAAGACCAGCTTGGCCAACATGGTGAAATCCCATCTCTACTAAAAATATAAAAATTAGCCAGGCATAGTGGCATCCGCCTGTAATGCCAGCTTGGGAGGCTGAGGCAGGAGAATCACTTGAACCTGGAAGGCAGAGGTTGCAGTAAGCCGAAACTGTACCACTGCACTCCAGCCTGGCAACAGAGAAAGACTCCATCTAAATAAAATAAAATAAAAACGCACTATCAGGTTTTCCTAAACTGTGTTTCCTAAAAAAATGGTGGCTGGGTGTGGTAGTGGCTCAGACCTCTATTCCCAACACTTTGGGAGGCCAAGGCAAGAGGATTCCTTAAAGCCAGGACTATGCAGCACATACCTGTAGTCCTAGCTATTCAGGAGGCTGAGGCTAGAGCATCACATGAGCCCAGGAGATCAAGGCAGCAGGGAGAGGTGATTATACCACTGCACAGCCTAGGCAACAGAGTGAGATTCTGTCTCAAAAAAAAAAAAAAAAAAGAGAGAGAGAAAAGAATAATAAAGAGCTTTTTGTTTTGTTTTGTTTTTACATTCTTAATATTTATACAGGGCCTGATATGTGGCAGGCACTCAGTATGTATTTAATTAATGACTGAATGCATTTTTAAAAAGTCTATCTTGAACTGCTCTTTCCTTATTTTACAGAATTTTCCTTCCATGGTCATTTGTATGAACATATTAAAAGTTAACATTAAAATGTTTATTAAGTGTAATGTACTCTTAGCTTGAGAAAAGTAAAGATAGCACAGGGGGGGAATAACCTTATTTAAAGGTTACTTTTCGGCTAGGTGCAGTGGCTCACACCTGTAATCCCAACACTTTGGGAGGCCAAACTGCGGGAGAAGTTAGAGACCAGCCTGGGCAACATAGGGAGACTCCATGTCTACAAAACATTTAAAACATTAGCTGGCCATGGTGGCCCATACCTGTAGATCAAGCTACTTGGGAGGCTGAAGCAGGAGGATCTTTTGAGCCCAGGAGCTCAAGGCTGCAATGACCTATGATCATACCACTGTACTACAGCCTGGGCAACAGAGCAAGATCTTGTCTCTAGAAAAAAATAAATAAAAATAAAGATTACTTCTCCAACTGTCTGATGCAGTTAGTGCTAGGAAGTGGGCTTAATAGGCTCAATATAAGCCAAAATGCAAAAGGAGAAAATAGTCAAATTCAATCAGAGATGTGAGGCCTTCAGTCATAACTTATTTTGTCTAGGTTTACACATAATTCTGGCTGGTCCAAGTTCAGTGCTGTTTACAACTAATTGAACACAATCAGTTAGAGATTTCTTCTTTTTTTTTTTGAGACTGGATCTTGCTCTGTTACCCAGGCTGGAGTACAGTGGTGTGACCAATTAGAGATTTCTTTGTTCCTTTTCTACTCCCAATGCTTTAAAAATAATAAATTTATACATAATTTTAATAGATTTATTTTTTTGGTTTCCTAGACTAAGACGCAAATAAGAAGAGCAAAGAGGTTGCTTGAGGCAGAGCATAACAAGAGCAGAAAACAAATACAAACAAAAAACACCGTAGGTTAATAGAATAGAAGGAAAAGAAAAAAGTGAGTCAGAAAACAAAACTTTAGATGATGCACAGTAAATTAATAGTGTTTCCTTATGGGGCATAGAAGTGCCAGGAAATAGAAGTACTGGTGAATAAAATAGGTAATTTTTCTTTTTGTTTTACACAATATATATTTAGAGCATTATTTAGAAATAACATACATTGCTTTTGTAAGTAAAATATTAACAGAATAAAATAGAGTTGCTTACGGTAGTAAAAAATTAGAAGTCACCTAAATGTCCAACAATAGAGAAATGAATTTTTAAAATTATATATCGCGGGCTGGGCACAGTGGCTCATACCTGTAATCTCAGCATTTTGGGAGGGTGAGGTGGGTGGATTGTTTGAGCCCAGGAGTTCAGCGTAGACATTTCTCTACAAAAATACAAAAAAAAATAGCTGGATATGGTGCATCTGTAGTTCCAGCTACTTGGGAGGCTGAGGTGGGAGGATCGCTTGAGCTTAGGAGGTTGAGGCTGCAGTAACCCATGATCATGCCACTGCACTTCATCCTGGGCAACAGAATGAGACCCTGTTTTAAAAAATAATACATTAATCCCTTTGAACTGGAGCTGCAAGGTAAAAAATAAAAATAAAAATGTTTTAAATTCATAAGTTTCAATTTGTGTACCATTCTGAGTAGCATAATGAAATCTCAGGGTGGTCCATCTCATCCCTTTGTCCATGGTATCCATGTTGTATATGCCAACGGTCCTTAACATTATTCAGACCAGAATGGAGGGGATGGTTTTGGTATGATTCAAGTACATTACATTTATTGTGCACTTTATTTCTATTATTATTACATTGTAACATATAATGAAATAATTATATAACTCACCATAATGTAGAATCAGCAGGAGTCCTGGGCTTGTTTTCCTGCAACTAGATGGTCCCATCTAGGTGTGATGAAAGACGGTGACACATGTCAGGCATTAGATTCTCTTAAAAAGCAGGCAGCCTAGATCCCTTGCATGCGCAGTGAATGATAGAGTTCACATTCCTATGCCGCTGCTGATCTGACAGGAGGCAGAGCTCATGCGTAATGCCAGTGATAGGAAGCGGCTGTAAATACAGATGAAGCTTCGTTCACTTGCCTGCCGCGCACCTCCTGCTGTGTGGCCCAGTTTCTAAGGGGCCATAGAGACCAGTACCAGTCCCTTGCCTGGGGGTTTGGGGACTCCTGGTATATGCTGCTCTACTGTTAGTCACTTAGTAGTTGTCTGCATTACCAGATTGACTGTTACAGTATCGCAATGCTTGTGTTCAAGTGACCCTTATTTTACTTAATTATGAATGGCCATAAAGTGCAAGAGCAGTGATGCTAGCAATTTGGATATACCAAAGAGAAGCCATAAAGTGCTTCTTTTAAGTGAAAAGGTTAAAGTTTTTTGGTTTTTTTTTTTGAGACAGGATCTTGCTCTGTCACCCAGGCTGGAGTGCAGTGGTGCTATTATGGCTCACTGCAGCCTCCCAGGTTCAAATGATCCTCCCAGCTCAGCCTACCAAGTATCTGGGACTACAAGCACAGGTCACCACACCCAGCTAATGCTTGTATTTTTTGTAGAGATGAGGTCTCCCCATGTTGCCCTGACTGATCTCAAACTCCTGGCCTCAAGTGATCCGCCTTGGCCTTCCAAAGTGGTGGGATTACAGGTGTGAGCCCCGGTGCCCAGCCAAAAGTTCTTGACTTAATAAGGAAAGAAAAATCTTGGCCAGCATGGTGGCTCAGACCTGTAATCCCAGCTCTTTGGGAGGCTGAGGCGGGCGGATCACCTGAGGTTGGGAGTTTGAGACCAGCCTGACCAACATGGTGAAACCCTGTCTCTACTGAAAATACAAAAATTAGCCAGGCGTGGTAGCACATGCCTGTAATGCCAGCTACTCGGGAGGCTGAGGCAGGAGAATCGCTTGAACCTGGGAGGTGGAGGTTGCAGTGAGCCGAGATCGAGCCATTGCACTCAAGCCTGGGCAACAAGAGTGAAACACTGTCTAAAAACAAAAAAATACTAAAATAAGGAAAGAAAAAATTCATATGCTGAAGTTGCTAAGATCTGCCATAAGAACAAATCTATCCATGAAATTGTGAACAGTATTGTCATAACTGTTACATTTCATCAGTTGTTTATCTATTACTGTGCCTAATTTATAAATTAAACTTTATCATTGTTATATATGTAGGGAAAAACTTAGTGTTTATATGGTTTGGTACTATCTGCAGCTTCAAACATCTACTGGGGATCTTGGAACATATTCCCTATGGAAAAGGGGGTACTATATCTATTCTATGCTTGTGTGCCCATTGTATTTTGGAAGCACATAATAATATGATTCAGAAGTTCATAGCTGGAGAGGAATCTTGCCTTAGGTTGAATCTGCCTCAAGTGTCACTCATATCTGATTTAGAAGACATTTAGATAAGGGATTCAACTTTAGAGTTGTTGGTGGAACAAGATAAGACTTTTCAAGTTACTGGGATAGAATGGATGTATTTTTGCATGAGAGAAGGACATGAATTTGGGGGGCGGGCAGGAGTAAAATATTATGAACTGAATATTTGTGTTCCCCTCCGAATTTCTACATTGAAGTTCTAACCCCCAATGTGATGGTATTTAGAGGTGAGATCTCTTAGAGGTCATTAGGTTTAGATAAGTTCGTGATGGTGAGGTCCCCCCATGATGAGATTAGTGTACTTACTAGAAGAGGAATAGAGACTAGAACTTGCTCTCTCTCCACCATGTGAGGACACAGTGAAGAGGCTACCATTTTCAAGCCAGGAAAATAGCCCTCACCAAGAATTGAATTGCCTGGCACTTTATCTTGAACTTCCCAGCCTCCAGAACTATGAGAAATAAAGATATGTTTTTGTTTGTTTGTTTTTGAGATGGAGTCTCGCACAGTTGCCCAGGCTGGAATGCAACGGCGTGATCTTGGCTCACTGCAACCTCCACCTCCAAGGTTCAAGCGATTCTCCTGCCTCAGCCTCCCAAGTAGCTGGGATTACAGGCACCAGCCATCATGCCCGGCTAATTTTTTGTATTTTTAGTAGAGATGGGTTTCACTATATTGGCCAGGCTGTTCTCGAACTCCTGAACTTGTGATCTGCCCACCTTGGCCTCCCAAAGTGGTGTGAGCCACCGGGCCCGGCTAATATATGGTTTTCAAGCAACCTAGTCTGTGGTATTTTGTTAGAGCAGCAGAGCTGACCAAGAAAGCTATTATCCATTATTCCCTTTCTCCTTAGTAATGCAGGCTGGCCGGGCACAGTGGCTCATGCCTGTAATCCCAGCACTTTGGGAGACCAAAGCAGCAGGATCACTTGAGCCCAGGAATTTGAGACCAGCCTGCACAGCATAGTGAGATCCTGCCTCTCTTAAAAAAAAAAAAAAATACACACATGCACACACACACACACACACACACACACACACATATACACACATACATATATATACACACACAGACATACATTACACACACACACACACACACACACTCATAATGTAGGCTGGTTAAATTCTGGAGTGGCACTGATCTCAAGGGAAACACTATATTCTCAGTCTCCATTGAAGATATATGTGGCCATATGAAAAATAAGTGCTGACTGGAATACCTGGTTATGTTCTTTAAGAAGCAAGAAGAAAAAATAAATAAAGCAAGTACTTGTTGCCCTTTTGGAGTTTTCTGTTTTTCTTTTTTTTTTTTTTTTTTGAGACAGAGTCTCACTTGTTGCCCAGGCTGGAGTGCAATGGTGCTGTCTCTCAGCTCACTGCAGTTTCTGCCCCTGGGGTAACTGATCCTCCCACCTCAGCCTTCAGAGTAGCTGGGACCATGGGTATGCACCACAGCGCCCAGCAAATTTTTGTATTTTTTGTAGAGATGGGGTTTCACCATGTTGCCCATGTTTATCTTGAATCCCTGGGCTCAAGGGGTCCACCCACCTTGGCCTGCCAAACTGCTGGGATTAGAGGCGTGAGCCACCTCGCCCATCCTTGTTCCCCTTTTATAAACCCCTTCGCTTCCTCCCACTGTCATCCTGGACATGAAGGCCAAAATTTCAGCAGCCATTTTAGGTCTATAAAGAAAATATCAAGAGAGTCATATCCAAAAGGTGGTAAACCAATGCCAGCAACAGTTTGCCTCTGAACCTCTTCTTTTTTTTTGAGACGGAGTTTCGCTCTTGTTACCCAGGCTGGAGTGCAATGGTGTGATCTCGGCTCACCGCAACCTTCGCCTCTTGGGTTCAGGCAATTCTCCTGCCTCAGCCTCCTGAGTAGCTGGGATTACAGGCACGTGCCACCATGCCCAGCTAATTTTTTGTATTTTTAGTAGAGACGGGGTTTCACCATGTTGACCAGGATGGTCTCGATCTCTTGACCTCGTGATCCACCCACCTCGGCCTCCCAAAGTGCTGGGATTACAGGCTTGAGCCACCGCGCCCAGCTGAACCTCTTCTTACATGAGAAAAACTGTTATCTGTGTAAGGTACTGTTAGTTAGATCTGTTACTGGCAGCCAAATGTAATTTATAACTGACATGAGTCAGCTTTTTCATTAGAACTTTTACCCTGTGCAAAACTACATCAGAAAGTTCAAATAGTATGTAGAAGTTAGAAATGTGTGTTTAGAGTTGACTTCTTAATTACTTTTATATAAAAACAGACTTTAAAATAGGCTTGTTCTTTTGAGGAAAGACTAGTAGTACTCAGCATTCACTTTGTTCAAATTTGCTCAGTATTCCAACTTTGGTGTGAGAAGAGAAGAAGAACCTCACTTGACTTTTGGGTGATTGACACTTAATATGTAATTTCGGATTTTTTATTTAACAGGGAGAGTTGGGGAATTGAATGATATACTATTTTTGGAAGATAAGCATGAAGGGCTTGAAGATCTTAAGCTTGGGCACTTCAGACTTCTTTTTAAAATTGCTCTTTGGTCTCTTTTCACTTTTCATTTACTGAAATAAAAAAATAAAATAAAAAATAAAAGAAATAAAATAAACAAATTGCTCTTTGGAGTAAATCAGAGGGAAACAGAAAAGTCTGGTATTCCTGAATTAAAGGCTTTTGAATTATCTGGGAAATGGTTAAAATGCAAATTCTCATGTGTCATCCCAGAGCCACAATTTAAGAAACAGTGAAAGAAAGAGACTGCTCAGTTGACCAGGTGCCCATCACATTTTTTTTTTTTTTTTGAGAGACAGAGCCATGCTCTGTCACCCAGACTGTAGCACAGTGGTGTGATTATAGCTTACTGCGGTCTCAACATCCTGGCTCAAGCAGTCCTCTCACCTCATCCTCCCAAGTAGCTGGGACTATAGGCACATGCCACTACACCCAGCTAATTTTTTTTTAAAGATTTTTTTGGCTGTTAAGTTCATTCAATGCAAAATAATCCTCTCCAATTTTACTGAGGTGGTGGACCACATCCATGACCAAATCCACCTCTAAACTGGAATTGGGTTGCTGACGCAGCCCCAGCCTCGGCTTTCTTGTCGGCACCAGGGGGCACAGCACTCCGTGTGTAGGTGTCTCTGTCACTTTCCCTCTTGTGAGTCACAGGTCACTCACCCTCCAGACCTTTAGGCCAAGGCCTGCCAGTCTCTGGATGGCTGGGGGGCAGGCACAATCTCCAGGGGCATATGAAGGTAATCACAGAGGTACTGGATACTCTCATTGGTAAGGTGCCAGTAGAAAAGTCTCCAGGTAAACTGTTCACTCATGTAGACTCAGGACTTGAGAGACTGCATGGCCTTCATGACCTGAAGGTTGGGCACATACTTGTCTGCCAGCTCCGGGTGTTAGACATTTGGACATCCTTCTTGGCCACCATGACTCCCTCCTTAAAAAGGAGTTCACAAATGGCAATCCAGTTCTTCTTAGGCATCAACATCTCAGCAGCTGGCTTTTTTTTTTTTTTTTTGAGACAGAGTTTCGCTTTTGTTGCC